TCCACAGTGCATGTACCACCTTGGGGCTATTAACAACGGTCCCTTTCCAGGGACAGGGATGACACAGGTGGCTACACCACCTGGCTTACACACCAGCTTCTTGCCTCTTCCCCAGCCTCTTCTTAGTGTGCAGGACAAGCTTTCTGATGATTTCCCTGGCTTATCTGCATATGAAACATAGAACTTTCCCTGTTCAATGCAATCCCAGGCTACTGAGTAATGTAGTTGGGGGCTGTAGGTATATGAACACATCTAATCAGACAGACCTGGTGCTTTACGAAATCATCATCTTCAACCCCACAGTGTCCTGTTTGGCATGTTGTTTTCTAAGGCTGGATTTTCTCCTCATTGTTCTTAGCAGCTATATCAAAACATTCCATCATAAACTTCCAGTTATATCACTGTAGTAAATAAAGGAAGCTGGGCCAGGCGCAGTGGTGCATGCCTATAATCCCAGTAGCTCGGGATTAAAGGGTGAGGCAGAAGGATTGCAAGTTCAAAGTCAGTTTTAGCGACTTAGTGAAAGTGTGTCTCAACACAAAATATAAAATAAGTTGGGGATGTGGCTCAGTGGTCAAGCACCGCTGGGTTCAAAATAGAATAAACAATGAAAGCTGGCATGGTGACATGTGCCTAGAAGCCCAGTAACTCAGGAGAGGCTAAAGTAGGACATGAGTTTGAAGTCAACTTGGGCAGCACTGTGAAACCCCATCTCAAACACACACAAAAAAACAAAACACGAATAGTGCATATTAACCTACATACGTATGTATAGAATATGTCCAGATCTGATAATAGTTTTGCCTCTGAAAGGAAAACTATTTTTCACTTTATATCCATTTTACTATTTGAATTTTTTACTATGGTGCAGTATGACCTTTTAAAATAAAAATCAACGTTATCTACTGCATTGAAACCACTACTCTACCACCTACTTAGAGCCTATGCTGTCATCTCTGAACAGGGACTTTTTCTCCTATTTCAGGGAAAGTCAAAGCTACCCAGCCAAGAACTCCTTTAAATGTCCTTTACCCACATCTCTGAACTTACTGGTAGTCTCTTCTTTCCTCCTCCCTCATCTCATAATAGAGAGATCTCTCTCTCCCTAGCCAAAGCCACCCCGTGCTCCTTCCTATACCCCGGACTTCATGCTTTCTTTAGTGCTCCCTACAGCACATTTCTGCTCTCACCCCTGTATTAAACAATGAGTTCTTTCTCAGGAGCATTGAAATATGCTTAAAACTTCTCCATACAAAATATCCATCCACTCAACCCATGTACTCTTTTAGTGATTAGGTCTCTTTCTCTTCCTCTTTAGAGACATTGTTCTTGAAGTATATATATCGTAATAGCTCTTTCAAATCCTTCTCCATTGTAGTCTTCACAGACACTGTCTTATGTTCCCCGATCTACACCATGGAAACTACTATTTCCAAGATACATTCATTTATTTTTAAAAATCTCATTTCCAAACACAATAAACATCTTTTAAAATTCTGACTTTCTGTGATACTGTTAGAAAGCCACAGGCATGAAAATAATCAAATGTGGTCTTCTAAGAAAAGTTAAGGGGTTGGGGTTGTGACTCAGTGGTAGAGTGCTAACCTAGCACGTGCAAAAGGTCCTGGGTTCCATCCTCAGCACCACATAAAAATAAAATAAAGGTATCATGTCCAACTACAACTCAAAACTAAATTAAAAAAAATTTTAAAAAGAAAGAAAAGTTAAGAAGACGGAAACTACTGAATCTAATTTTAATTTGGAGAAGAATACTGAAGCTGTAAATATGTTGTAATGAAGCCAATGAGAAAAAGCAGATGGTAAGAAGTGAGAACTGCTTGGAGAATGATACAGGAAAGAAATACACTAAGCACCTCAAACTCTGGAACCCATGAAGTACTGATACAGTAACTGAAAAACATAAAGCAATATGAATAGACTCAAATTAGAAAATTAGACAAGTGAGCTATCAGAAATTAAAAGAGAATTTTAAAAGGCATTAAATACAACATTTTTATTATATAAATTCATTGACATAAAAGACTACTACTAAGATCCCAATAGATTAATGAACAAAGGACACATAAAAATAAATCAAACAAAAGGAAATACAAATATTAACAGCAACCAAAAAACTGTTAAAAAGAGGAGTCATTTTTATACCTTTTTGGTAAAAGCATGTGAGTGAACTAAAAATCCTTAGACAATGTAGACTGACATAATGTTTCTCAAAAGAAATCTGGCCTTGTATATGTGTTTGATCTGAAGTTCACCAGCGTGCCTGATATAGAGTGGTTCTTCTAGAAGAATGAATTTTAAAAAAGTGAAAAACCACAATCTCTAAAATGTTTGCAATAGTATTTAGCTACAGTTTATCACTGCCCCAGACAGCTAACTGAATGTTAGCTTTCAGGATCAAAACCTAGTTACAAATAGGACCTTAGAAACCAAGAAGTGATATGATGGGTAAAATGCAGATCCTAAGGTAAATATCACAGAATAGGGGTTGGTGGTCTGAGGATGGTCATGGGGTAAACAACTAACCATCCACATATGAAAGGGAAGGAAACAGTGTTACTAAAGAATCATAAAAACCATTATAAGTTAATCAACAAAGTATGAGAAATTTTCATAAATTAGAAATATTCTGTTAAGAATTACCCAATTTATCAAAGAATAAAACTACCAAAAATTTACTTAAATTTAAACCTATTAGTTTAAACTTTATCTTGTGTGTGTGTGTGTAGTGTACTGGGGATACAACCTAGGGAACTCCACTACTAAGCTACACCCCCAACCCTTTTTTTAAAAAATTCTTTTTGATTTTTTAAGACAAGAACTCATGAAGTTGCCAAGGCTGGCCTCAAACTTACAGATTCTCGGGTCTCAGACTCCATAGTGAGTATGGTTACAGAATGACAGGTGTGCACCAACATGCCCAGTAAGCTCTTTTTTATTTTAAAAAAGCAAAAAGGATTTGCTGGATGGTAAACACTATTCCCCTAAGTACTATCAGTTTCAACTGTACCCTTATGAAGGCAGAAATAACCAAAATAAACTGAATAAGAAAAAATGAGGTTTACTCTCCGGGAGAAAGAAAAAGAAAACCAACAGCAACTAAAACATACAAACATATATGTTTCTTTTTGTTCTTGTTGTTACTGGGGGTAGAACCCAAGGTCTCATGCATGCTAGGCAAGTGCTGTTCC